ATACATGTCAGCTATGTGCATATGTGAACTTCATCTTTAAAAACAAACTGTAATTATGTATTTTTTAAGTCTGTACAGAGCACACTAAACCATATGGGACCTCCCAGGTGTGTCTGTGTGATCCCAATGGCCCTGAAAAGCCTGGGGCTCCTCCTGCTGAAGGTCAGTGAGCCAGCTGGTCTGCAAAGTCGGGCCAGTGTCTGTGACTCCCCATCCCTTGACCCCTTGGGAGAGGGCACTGTTTGGGCACGGCAGGCTGAGGTACCTGTGGGATGTCTGAGAGAGCCATCCAGAAGGCTTGTGCTCCCATTTCTCAAGGGCAAACTTGAGGGCAACAGGCCTGAACTCAGGAGAGAGATCCTGGCTGAAGGTGCAGGCTGTCTCTCCTACCTCCCCATTGCTCCAGTTCATGAGGATGCCATCCTAGCTCTCCATCCTGGAAGACTCCCCCAAATCATGGTGCTTCCACTACCTGCCAACATTTTCCTCCTATCTATGTCAGTTACTCCCATTTACCCTCCTGTATCTTTAACAACTCATAAAACACTTTTAACTACATCACTTATTTCAGTATTTATGACAACATAATGGACTAGATAGGGCAGGTGCCTCTAGTCCCATTTTACAGAGGAGCAAGTTATATTGAAGTAAGATTAAGTGTGTTTCCAAAGGTTGGGGCTCATGCTAAGACCCAAACTCACATTTCCAAACTCTAAAACAAGGCTCTCTTCACCATCTCTGGCTATCTCTTGGTTAAACAAAATCCTAACCACAAAAAAAGAAAGAAAAAAGAAAGGGAAGGAAAGGGAAAGCAAGGGCAGGGGGAGGGAGGGGTTGGGGGAACGGGTGGAGAGGAAGGAGAGAATAAAGGAAAGAGGGAAGGAGAGAAGGGGAAGGGAAGAAGGAAGGGAGGGAGGCAGTTTGAAAAGGTTTAATTGAGGCTATATAACTGAGAGAATTTGGGAAACAAAATTCTGGCTCTATCCCCAATGAACTGTGCTATTCTGAGCAAGCCTTGCAACCTCTCTGTGCTCAGGTTCTTCCATGTAACATGGAGATCCACCTTATAAGGACTCCTGCAAGGAGTCAATAAGACGAATTTGCAGAGTACCCAGGGCAGTGCCAGTTCTCAGAGACTGCTTTACACCTTTTAGTTCTCTTTTTGTGAATTCATTTCAATGACCTAATTGTACTGAGTTCTTCAGCCCCACTACCTCTCCTTATGTTCTGAGGACATTTAATTCACACTTCCACCACCTATGTATTTACTACACTTTATGTCCACACTGATGATCATCAGAAACAATGTATAACCTCTACACCCAAGAGCTACCCCCACGAAAGCTCATCTGAGAAACTAGGTAAGTAAAAAACAGCTGGTCAGGAGAAAAGACATGTAATTCAATTTAAAACTTTAAAATTAAAAATCCTCCATTCTGAGTCTTATGTTCATTAAAGCAAATATTAAAAAATTCAAAAATGCCTGCTATACCACAGCTTCCTAGACTCTCCCACGCACCCTAAATCCAAGTAATACGGAAAAGGTGAGGCAAATGTTTGATTTCATTGGTTTTGAGGTGGTGTTGTCTCAACCTCTTCTTATCCAACAGTAAGGTCCTATGCCAAAATCATTCTGAGTTTGGTAGGCACCCAGGAAGGCATGTCGACTGGGCCATGGGTAGAGGGACAGCAGTGATGGCTGTCTTCAGAGGAAAACCATCCAATCCCAGGACCAGAAGAGGTGCTGGGTTACTCCTCATTAGATACTGGTGGCTTCAAGTATCATTCTTTCCCCAATACATGTAGGTTCCCATGATCATGCATTTGTGTGGAACTGCAGCAGAGCTGCTGACTACTAGCTACTAAGACCACATGACCTCAACAGAAAGAAGGCGCCCACTTCAAGTGCAATGGCAACTTCACTGCATTTAAGCACTTCTCCCCAAACCAAGCATAAAGCAAGTCTTCTACAGAGACTTGCATGTGACTTCAGTGGAGCTAAGACAAGTGTCCACAATCAGAAAACACTAGGTAAGTTTGTGGCTTACCCATATTTGAGTTTCCAGGAGATGAAGCATGATACACAGATGGTCTTAATGATTCCTAGAAAATAGTAAGACTGATTCTTCAAGCCACACATAAAGTTGGCCATATAGATTGACAGACAATCTACATTTATCCATCTGTTCCACAGATACTTAGGGCATGGCCACTGTGGGCCAGGCCCAGTGCCCAGAGCTTGGGACACAAGACTGAGGGAGACATGGTTCTTGTTGATGGTCCTGGTGAGGAGAGAAGCTGAATCATGCAGGAGAAACACACACTACTGTGCTGAAATTGGTCTCAATGTAAATTAGTGGCCACAAATTCCAAACAGTCTTAGTGCTGACTGGCATTGTACTGTATGCCCCAGCTCTGCCTACTCTCCTGACCTTTGGTGACCATTTCCTTTACAAAATTTTTGTCTCTGGCTTGGATTTCCCACCTGAACTCTAGATGAAAATATACAAATGCCAACTTGACATCTCTACTTGGATGTCTAAAAATGATCTCAAGTTGAAGATATTTAAGACAGAGCTCAGTTCCAGCTGCCTGCCAACTCTCTGCTTTTCAGTCTTTCCACTCAGTGAAAGGCAATTTCATTTTCCCAGTAGCCCAAGCCACAAACCTCACAGTCCTCCCTGACTCTCCCTCTTACGTTTCCTATCCCAATAAGGAAATGCAAATCCTACAGGCTCTACCTTTGACATGTTTCCAGGATCTGACCACCACTCACCACCCCTTGCCACTCCCCTGCTCTGAGAAAGCACGACCTTTCACCTGCACTGCTGCCTCCTGTCAGTTCCTAAGCTGCTTGTCCTGCCTTTCTATGATGTCTTCCCCACAAAGCAGCCACAGTGACTCTATAAAGCAGATGTCAGGTCATGTCACTCCTGTGCTGAAAACTCTGTGATTCCTCAGGCTAGAGTAAGATTCAGGGCTTTCCCACAGATTCACTACTTACTATAAGGTTTCGGCTCAGGCTGTTGCTGAGACTGTGTTCCATACAACACTTCCCTGGCTCATTCCCTCCTAGCTCCTCAGAAAACAGACAAGGCATGTCTTTGAGTCAGAAACGGAACATCTGTGGTTCTCTCTGCTGTGACTCATGTCACCCCAGAGAGCAGCACAGCTTCCTCCCTTGCTTCTTTCAGATCTCTGCCCAAATGTCCCCAGAGAGGTCTTCCCTGAGCAGCCCATGGAAAAACAGCACCTGCCACCCCACACCAGGGTCTGCCCCCTTCCCTGCTTTATTTTTCTTCATGGCTCTCACCACTATCGAATATATATAAATATATTTTTATTTGTTCATTTCCCCTCCCTCTCCTCCCTCTTGGAGCAGCGCTATCCAGTAGAGAGACATAATGTGAGACATATACATAATTTTGAATTTTCTAGAAGCCATACTAAAGGAAATAAAAAGAAACAGGGAAAATTACTTATGTTTTTTATTTAACCTCATATAGACAAAACAGGAGCATTTCAAAGTGAAACAATATAAAATTATTAATAAGATATTATACCTTTTTTGGTACTAAATTTGAAATCTGGTGTGTATGTCACACTTACAGTGCATCCCAATTCAGGCTCACCACATGTCAAGTGCTCGGTCACCACCCATGAGTTGTGGCTATGGTATTTGTCAGCTCAGCTCTGGAATAGAAACTCCATGGAGCGAAGAATGGTTTTGCTCACCTTTTACCCAACAGATTGAACAGTGCCTGCCACATGGTCTACAAATTAATTAATTACTTAATTAGCAGGGCTTTTTTGTCTTCCCTCTAACAAGCACATATTGAATACAGATAATATGAGAGACAAACAAAACGTGGTAAAAACAAAGATGATTATACCACAGTGCTTATCATCTAGTAAGGGAGGAAATACTGTAAAGAAACAGAAAGTCTGAGGTATCCTAAGTGAAAAGGAAAACAATCCACACCAATTTGAAGCTGAGTGGGAGAGGACCCGGTTGGGGCTCAGATGTGGCACAGCCCTGACTATTTGGAGGAGTGGAGGCGGAAGGTCCTAAGATTATGGCAATTCCCAGGATGACAGTGATAAAAGCTAGACCCGGGGAAGGTCAGGACAGAAGGTGAGGAGGCAGAATCAACAGTGCCTGGCCCAGCCCTGTGTGGGGACCAAGTCATGGGAGGAATTAAAAAGACTGGAGTTTTGAGCTCCGTGGCTAAGGAAGGAGATGGTACCATGATAAACCCATGCAATTCCGAGGGATAACAGACGGATGAATGAGGACAGCTAATGATGACTTACCATCTAGTTCCAACATACTAGACCCAACACATAACCTCATTTTGGTCACTCTGACTTCTTCCACATTTAGATATCTCTACCTAAATGAACAGCAATAGGGGTACTTCCCAGAACATTCCACAAGGAAATACCAATGGGAGAGTCAGAAGGGCTCCTCTCTGGGCCTCAGTTTCCCCCTCTATAAAATGAGGAGGGTGGTGCTGGGCCAGGTGATTGCAGCCTGGTATAGTGGGCCCTTTCCCTGTCCCAGGTCTTCTGAGCTCTTTTCCTGTATCACAGGAGCTGAGCTCTCTAGCAGAAGACTGTGCACGTGTGAGTCTAATTCTCTCAAGAACTGTTCACCTAACACTTTGGTTATTCTTCAGTAATACCTGCCAACAGGAAACTTAAAGTCAGGAACAAGCTCAAAACAGCCACTGTCATTACAAACTTCCTACAGCTAAAAACGTAGAGGGTAGCAACCCAAAGAAAACCTTGACAGGGAGTGTGAACAGTCACATTTCTGAACTGACATTACGGTGCCCAGCACTGACGCTGGTGAACCTTTCTACAGAGGACAGGGCATTCTTCCTGTAAACAGAAGTATGTGTACATGACATAAAGACTTCAAACTTAGGGCTAGCAGCAAGGAACACCCTCAGGAATGCTGTCTCATGGTACCCAGGAGGGCAATAGAAGCATCTCACCTTAGCCGTTCTTCCTCTTTTTTTCGAAGATTGAAGTCTCGCTGAACCACCTGGAGAACATGCTCCGTTTCGTCATCGGTCAGACCAGACAGGTCCAGCTTCCTCCCCATGATTTAATACCAAGCACAGACAATGACACAAGACCTGAGAAATCAAGGAGAGACCACAAATTGAGGGCAAGAGGAAAGGTCTAAGGGACAAAAATCAACCCATTTTGTCATTAACACAGAATGAATACAGCTTGATCTAAGATAGTATCTTGCTCTGCTCTCATATTCATCAAACATTTACAGACAATTTTGGCAAGGCTACAGAGAAAGAGAGAAGGTACCTGAGTATCTGCCAGTTTCATTCATCCACCCAACCCTTAAGTTAGAAAAAAATACATATATTACTTTTTTCAACACAATGAAGCATACAAGATGGCTAGTGTGGATTTCCACAAAATGCCAAAAGACAGGATCCAAAAAATTCTAGATTTTTGTGACTTGAAGTTTTAAATTCTAAGTATTATATGTAATTGCAAAATAAAATAAATTATAATACTTTTTAAAATATCTATATATACTATATTCCTTTAACTTTTCACCACATGGGTATAAAATATAAACTAGAAATCAATAAGCTCTCTTCTGCAAAAGGAAGAAATGTAGTAAAATAATCTTATTTAGCCATTTTCTCAGCAGAAGAAAAGATGGTATTTCAAAGGAGCACCTTCCAGCAGTGCTTACCTAGAAATCATGGGAAACAATATTTTTAAAAGTCATTTTTAATGAATGGCTACACCCAGGTATGAAATCAAATACATAATTCCCCAAAATTGCCTAGAACTGAAGACCATCATAAACATGAATGCAATCATCCTCAATAAAGTATTAGTGGAACCAATCCAGCAAGATTTCAAAAAGATCATTATGTGGGTTTTATCTAAGCAATTCCAGGTTAGTTCAACATTCAAAAATCAACCAGTGTAATTCACCACATTAACAGAATAAAATGGAAATATCATATGATCATTTCAATGCCCATTCACGACAGAAGCCCTCTGCAAACTAAGATAAAAGGAAACTTCCTCCATTATATGAAGGTCATTTTCAGAAAAAAGAAAGAAAATCTAAACTAAAATTAACATCATAGTCAATGAAAGAGGGCACTTGTTGTGATGAGCACTGTGTGTTGTATGTAAGTGATGAATCACTGAATTCTACTCCAGAAACCAGTATTGTCCTGTATGTTAACTAACAACATTTAACTTAGAAAAATAACTAAATAAACTAGAGGTGCAACAATAAAAAAAAAAAAAAGACTGAATGCTCTCCCTTAAGATCAGGAACAAGGCTTGAACATCTCCTCTCCCTACCTCTACTCATCATGGAATGTCTTTATTATAAAGCTACATTAAATAAGACAGAGAGGTACTGCCACACAGATAGGTGTATTAGTTTGCCCAGGCCCCTATAACAGCGTACCATAGACCAGGTGGCTTGAACACCAGAATTAATTTTCTCACAGGTCTGGAGGCTGGAAGTCTGAGATCAAGGTACTGGCAGAGTTGGGTTCTTCTGAGGCCTCACTCCTTGCCTTGGAGATGGCTGTCTTCTCCCTCTTCTTCACACGGTCTTCCCTCTGTACATGTCAATGTCTAAATTTCTTCTCATAGGGGCACCAGTCATACTGGCTTATGGCCCACCCTAATAACCTCATTTTAACCTAACTGCCTCTTTAAATATACAATCTCCAAATACAGTCACAATTTGAGGTACAGGAGTTAAGACCTCAACATATGAATTTTGGGGTGACACAACTCAGCCCACAACCTTTCACATTTTGGTTCCTCAAATTCATGTCCTTCTTGGGCGCCTGGGTGGCTCAGTCGGTTAAGCGACTGCCTTCGGCTCAGGTCATGATCCTGGAGTCCCGGGATCGAGTCCCGCATCGGGCTCCCTGCTC